TGGTGGCTGGGGTCCCAGGAGTAGGGCCCCAGGTGTGGGGCTGGGAGTGGGGCCTTGGGCACAGGGCCAGTGGCTGGGGAGTGGGGCAGGCGGCCAGGACCCGAGCCCCAGGTGTGGTGAGGGGTTTGGGAGTGGAGTGCAGGCAGAGGGCTTGGAGTAGGGCATAGGCATGGGAAGGCACCCCCAGGATTTATGTGCCGAACCAGCGGCTGGAGAGCAGGGTGTGGGGCCAGCAGCCCTGCATAAAACCTGGGGATGTTGCAGCACCCACTGCCCCCCTACTTCCTGTGCCTATGCCCCTCTGCCTCTCTCTGTTCTTGTCTTTTGACTTTTCTGCCTTACCACACATGCCCAAAACAATACTCAGCCAGCAGCTCCTGGACTGGTTCAGATGCTCTTTTAGTCTTAGGCGGGGGCCTATGCTTACACTTATGTTAATTAAAGGGTGAGCTCACACGTATCAATGTCAATGGGGTTTTAATGCAACCCAAAAAAAGACTCTACCCAGCTCTTTAATGTTGCCATGAGCAGTCCTATTGATTTTAATGGGACTGTGCGAGATAGTAAAGTTACTTACTGGAGTAAGTGTCTAGAAAAGCTCCCCTTGATTTCCTCTTCCAGGGGATTGATATTTGTATTTACTTCTTTAGGCATCAAGCTTACTTTGATTTAAATAACAAGCTCAAGGGGAGAACCCATTTGGTATAAATAAGATTCTGTCATTTTCAATATTAAAAGTAAAATCAAAGTAAGAAAATACCATTGTTTTTTTTATTCCATTTACTGTTTTAAGATGAGCTATTTTTATTAAATAAGAGAAGGATCACCAATGAAGAAAGGAGCATTCAGTGCACAGTGTATAAATATACAGTGCATAATAGCTATGACTGCAAACATATTGATAATTCTGTGTATACTATTGCAGAGAAGATACAAAAAAGATCCTATTTTCATGTAATTTGTTACAATATGGGTGGGAGGAACAAAGTAATGAAAATATCACATAGATCCAGAATTGTGTCTAGGTAGATTGTCATAAACATTTTTCACAAGGCATTAGCTACTCTTTAATAAGTTGTTATATCTTAAGAAAAATGTGATGTTAAATAAATTCTTTTTCAAGAGTTTTATAAATGGAGTGGAGTTAAAGATTAAGAATTTTTCCTAAGTGGGACTGAATAATTGAGACGGGCCTTTCATTACTTAGTCAGTAGTAACCAAAAGTTGTTACAAGCTGATGATTTGTGGTGCCCTGCTGAGAAATGAGTTCGCTTTCTGTTCAAATCTCAGCGGCCACATCACAAAAATCACCGGTTAGTATTCACCGTCAGTTTCATCAAAGAGACCAAGAATGAATAAGTATGGAGACTGATCTACCCTTTCACCTCTAGAGATAGGACTTGAAACAAAGGCAAAGTGCATAAGCTTTACTGCCACGGCTATACTTGTTCTGTGAATATATACAAAGGACTCAGGCATGGGTGGCACGTGAACCCCTTCTGCCTGAGGCCCCACCCCTTCTGGACACACCCCCACCCCCACCGGAGCCCAGAGCCCCCCCACTTTGACTGCCGGTCCATGCCCCCAGGCTGGCACGCCCAGCCCCAGAGTGCTGAAAAGGTGGCCAGCGCATTCCCCACTAGCCCTGGAACACCAGGGGGACAATGCCTCCCTCTCCCAAGCCTTGGAGCGCTAAGCCGGGGCCACTGCATAGGGGAAACTGCAGTGGGATGCAGGAGGGAGTCTGGGGGTGAAGCGTGGGTGGGGCCACACCTGGCTGTTTGGGGAGACACCGTCTCCCCCAGCCTATGATACCTACCGCCCATAGACTTAGGCCCCAATCCTGCAAGTTGGTTCATACACACAGATGCCTTATAAAACTCTACAATAGACAAATAGTGCTATCAGTTCAGTAACTTTCACAAGCACTAAATTTACACAGAGACAATATGACTTAAGCAGAGCAATGGAAAGTAAGAATCTTTATCCACCCTTGCAAAGTGTACTGAGAGATTCTGTGTCAGGTACTGGTCCTGTGAAATGATTCTGCACAGGCAGAAGGGTCGGCTCTTGTGGATCACTTTCCAGAATTGGTGCCTAGGTGGACTGAATAAAGAAAACTGAACTACTGACACCCTACCACTAGATGGACCTTAAAATTACATTTACCTTTTACCTGAACTGAGCTGTATTAGTGTGCAAATCCCCCAAAAAATCTCTTCCACCTGTTTTCCCAGACAAGGGCTGTGAGGCTAATAGGTGCCATGTAAACCAGTAAAAGACTTTTAACAAAGTTATGTGTCATCTTTGTGAGACATATACAAAATTATTATTTGGATGAGCACTCAGGTTTTCTGTTTGGCACAGAATGAAACTCAAGAAGTATATTACATGTTTGCACACAGATGGCTTTTTAAAAATTAATACCATCGGCTTCCTTTAGACCAACAATTTTCTGAAGATATTATAAAAGTTATGGTCTATATGCTTGAGAGGGCTAACAACTTAATACCAATAAAATATTCACAGATTTTAATGAAAATTTTCAAAATTATAATAACCTTGTTCTGCCATGTTGTGACCCCAGCACTGCACTGGTGCAAGAGAATCAAGAAATGATAATGACCAGTTTGGTTTCCCCATCCAAATACATCCAGTGAAACGCAATAAACCATATATACATTATTTAGTTTTAATTTTAATTAGAAAAAGCTGTTGGTAGTGCAAGTAAGTACAATTAAAGTGAGTGTGAGCATCTTTTGTGTACACCTTGGCAGTTTCCACTGTGAGAACAATGTGAATGGGAGAGATTCAATATCTCATTGAAAAACACAAAGGCAAGATGCACAACATATGCACTGCATACTTGAGATACCAAAATAAGGCGTCACTTGCAATAGATTGTGCAGACATAAGTTCTTTGGGAAAGGGACTGTCATTTTCTATAGGTCTGTGCAGCACCTAGCATCACAGGGTCCTAGCTAGGTCAGCTTCTATGCACTACTTCAATAGAAATATTAAATCAATAAGATCATGTGTGCTCTAGGGGCTTTGTTGATTCCTGCAGGTTAACTCCTCCCTCCCCCCCACAGTGGGACTCAGAAGTGCACCTGGGCTGCTTAGGCTTGGTTCTTTGCAGAAAAAAATAAGGGCGTCTTCACTGCAGAGTTAACCTGAGTTAGCCTTGCCCAGGTGTGAGCTATCTACAGGGAAAAGGGGGGGACATAGCAGAAAGCCAGATACACAATGCCCACTGCCCCACTACCTATGAGGGAAAGGGGGAACAGGGCAGAGAGACACACAGCCCAATACCCATCCTCCCCACCACCCTACAGAGGAAAGGGAGAACATGGCAGATAGACAGATACCCTGATCCCCTCCTGCCCCAGCACCTACTGGGGAAGGGGAGAACACAGCAGAAACAGACACCTCAATTTCCTTTCACCTCAGTAACTACTGGAGAAACAGGTAACATGGCTGAGAGCCAGACATCCCAACCCTCTTCAATCCAACCACCTAGGGTTTGTCTTCACTGCCAATTTAGCCCAAGTGACCAGCATCCAGGTGTGAGCAGGCACATTGCAAAGCCCTGCTTGAGTTAGTGTCCTCACTGGTGCTGCGCTCCCCCTTGTGTGTCACTATAACTTCTGGGGACACATCCTATTCTTTTTTGTGCTTCCGCTCTATGATTCTTCTCTGGTGAATTGTGGGAGAACTTGTCTGTCCTTCTGGGCACTGGGCAGAACTGTGGGACTATTACTGGTAACCAGTTCAAAGCCTTGTCTTCACCACTAATAGAGGTGTGTTTTTATATGGAGGGAACTAACATGTATGAGCTATCCTGAGGTAAAACCACTGTGAAGACAAGGCACTTTAGTTTTAACATGAGGTAAACTAGGTGAGATCAACCCCAGGCAAGAGTATTGTGCAGACCTCACCTGGTTTACTTTGTGGTAAAACTAAAGTGCCTTGTTTCACTGTGGTTTTACCTTGGGATAGCTCACAAGCCTGTTACCCGGAGATTAAAAAACACACCTTTTTAACATTGAAAACAAGGCCTCAGCAAAAGCCTGACTCTGGCTCTGTTCTAACTCCAGATAAGCCAGTTACCCTCAGTTGCAAGCATCTCTGAACTTTGGTGAGAGGGATTTGTGTGTCGACACAAGGGGGTTAGGAGCAATTCCTGACTAAGAGCCCAAGTTAACTCTGCAATGGAGTAATACTCTCCCCAAGACATGCTCTCCCAAGCTGATGGCACCAAAAAGAGTTGTTGCTCAGGTAGATTGCTTAGAGTTTCAGAATATGATCTACTTCTTTATTACATGCTTTGATGGTCAGTCAAATAGTCAACACTTAAAGCACCATCACTGGCATCTGAGTCAGCACTCACTGAGATGAATGGGGCAGCTCACACTTGTCAGTGCTATGGCTGCAAGCTCTCCACAGACATGCCTTTACCCTTGTTTCAACTCTTGAGAGAGATGCTGGTATGCACTACTGCCAAGGAGGGCCCCAGCTCATGCTTTTCTCCATAAAGCAACATCCTCCAGCTACAAGGAGAGTCACCAATTTGAAGTTAAATTCTAGTGAGTGAGGGGAGCCTGGAGCAACATCTGTGGGAGGGAGTCTCCTTCCCATAAGCAAGAGGGGCTCAGGACTGGCTCTGTATGAGGAAGTGTCCCCCTGAAGAATGAGGAAGGCCCAAGAGAGGGTCTCTATGAAGGAATGTCCCCCTGAGGAGCAAAGGGGGAAACAGGACAGGGTCTGTGTGAAGAATCAGTCTCTCTCCACGTGCATTTCCCATCAGAGATTGTTTACACTCCCCAATAGGCCACAGGCTGAGGGAAGGGCGGGGCAGTCTTTGGCCCCTGGGGCTATTGGGAAGGCTGTGACTTTCAGAGGCGTGGCACTATATAGAGGCAGGCAGGGGCTGGTAGCAGCTTGCTTTTGAAGCAGAGTGTTGGTTGGTTTCACTTGTGTGGTGCTTGCAAGTGGAGGTTATGAAGGAGATGTGTGGGTGAGGATTGGCTGGAAAGCCCTGGGGGGGCTACTTTATTGTAGCTGCAGTGAAGTTCTGGGGGTGGTCCCTAGCCCCCTTCTCTGGCTATATCAGGTGTCCTTGGACTTGGCTACTTTCCCTGGGGTCCTTCTTTTTACTCTGGCTGTTGCAGGTGTGGAGGTTTCCCCAGACCTGTTTGTTTTCCTTGGGCCCTGCTGTCTGAGATTTTGATGGTGGACTTCAGGAGGTGTGAAATTAGCCCCTAGAGGAGTTCTGCTATAGCAAACCATATGATCAGGCTCTTCCCTAATGTCTAGTTGTCTCCATTTCTCCCTATACTCCATACTGCTTTACATCCCCTTTCTTGGGAGAGGGGACCACCTGAGGCTAGTTTCCCTGTGAGATTTTTTTCACAGCCCTGGGTGATGCAGCTAGATCAACCTAAATTTTAGGTCTAGACTAGGCCTGATCTGTTTCTTTATGTGCTTTGATGAGCAGTGAAATAGTTAATACTTAAAGCCCCATCACTGGCACTCACTGAGATGATTAGGGCAGCTCACACCTATCAGAGCTGTGGCTACAAACTCTCCACAGACATGGCTTTACTCTTCGCTCAACTCTTGGGAGAGGTGCTGGTATGAGTTCCTGCCAAGGAGAGCCCCAGCTTGTGCTCTGCTCCATAAAGCAGCATCCTCTAGTTACAAAGGACTGTCATCAATTTGAAATTAATTTCCAGTGAGTGGAGGTGGGGACCTGGGGCAGGTTCTGTGTGAGGGAGTCCTTCCTCCCCCTCCTCCCATAATGAGTGAGGGGTCCCAGGGCAGCATCTGTGTGAGAGAGTCTTTGCTTCCCTCTGCCAATGATTGAGGACGGCTGAGGTCAGGGTCTGTATGAGGGAGTCTTCCCACCCCAAATGGGGGGTGGGGGTAAGTCAAGGTTTTTGTGAGGAGTCATGAGTGAAGTGGGGACCCAGGTCACAATCCATGTGGGGTGTCCTGGATAACCACTCAATCTCCCTGCATGTGCACTTCCTACCAGGGACTGTTTACACTCCCCAGAGGCTTGAGGGTGATGGCCTCTTCCTGCAGGGGCTGCTGGGATGGCTGTGACCAGTGGAAGTTTCATTATGTTGCAGATGGTGCTGCACTGTACCATATAAAGGTAGGGCAGTGGGGCTGGGTTGTTTTTGGAATGGAGTGTCGGTCCATTTTGCACTCATGGAGCTTGCTGCAAAAAACATGTAGGAGATGTGAGGGTGAGGATCTGCTAGGCAGGGCTGGGGGCTGCTTTATTGTAGCTTCAGGGTAGCTCTGGAGGTGGCCTCCAGGGCCCTCCTCTCCTGGCTGTTTGGGGGAGGTCTTTGGAGTTGGCTGCTTTCCCCAAGCCTCTGCTTTTTCTCCAGGCTGTCTGGCGGGGTTGTTCCTGGACCCAGCCACACTTTCTGGGACCTCCAGTCCAGGGTCATGGTCACATTTACGAAGCTTTAGACAGGGCGAAGTGAGGCCCCAGAGGAGCTCTGCTGTGGAAAACCATATATGACTCTTCTTTAATGCCTGCTTGTTTCGCTCCCCTCCATCCAATCATGCTGCTTCACATCCCTTCCTCCCCATTTTTGGGAGATGGGGGGGGGGGGAAGGGGTGTCTGCTTGAGGCCAGTGTCTCACCTTCCTACTGACTGATTGAGCCCAGTCCACATGTTCCTGATAAGCATGTGTGGGAATGCTCATTGTCTTGCACTCAACTATGTCTTTCCCCAGTGATGGCTATGGGGTTCCCTTCAGCCCATTTGTTTTACCTACATCGTCTGCTGTCTGTTAACCTCTGTTTAAAGCACCCCAACCTAGAGTGACAGGGATTTGTGTGTGAACAGGTTGGAGCAACACCTGAGTAAATGCACAAGTTAACTCTGCAATGGAGAAATATTCTCTCCCAAGCTGATGGCACTGAAAAGAGTTTGTGATTGCTTAGAGCTTCAATATGATCCACTTCTTGCTTTCATGCTTTGTTGGGCATTGAAATAGTTAACATTCAAAGTATCACAGGCATCTGTTTTAGCACTAAGATGAGTAGGGCAGCTCATGCCTGTCAGAGCTATGATGCAAGCTCTCCGCAGACATGGCTTTACGCCTAGGTGATTCAGCTCTTGGGAGGGATGCCTGTGCCCTGTGAGGGCGGTAGAACTCCAACCCCTTGTTCTCTCCCCCCCCCCCCCCGCCTTCTCCTTCCCCACCCCCCTGTACAGGACAATGAAACATGATTGATTGGGGGCAATGCACTCCAAAACAAGGACACAAGTGGTTAACAGACCACCTGGGAGGGTTTGAGCCAATGAGCAGAGTTTGGAGGGGGAACAAAAGAAGCTGGAGCTGCCCCAGATGGAATTAAGCAGCACAGAAAGATGCTGAAGCCCAAAGTTGTGCGAAGTCAGAACTAAGAGCTGCTTGAAGGAGAGCCAGCTGCTGTATGGGTGATTGTGCCCACATGGGTCCCACCCACCATTTTGAGCTCTCAGCGCAGACCAATGTCTGAGTGTGTGGACAGGTTGGACTGACCTGGGGGGGTGGGGCGGGATTGCATCGCTGTGGGGCAGAAAGTCTGTGTGTGTTTTGCTAGGTTAGAGGTCAGGGCAGTGGTGTGTATGTTGTTCTGGAGCTGTCATGTCTGCTAGAAATTCTACCCTGGATTTCCTCCTGACTTTGCCTGGGTTAGATAAGTGGTGTTCTACTGTTGTGTGGTACTTTTCACGGGGGTTAACTCTGACTGCTAGGAGGAGGGTTGGTGTTTGTGCAGAGGCACGTGGCTAGGACCCTTTCCCCAAACCGGGGAATCCCACACCTGACATGCTGGTATGTATTGCTGCCAAGTAGACCTAGGTCATGTCCTCTCTAAAGCAAAATCCTCCAGGTACAAGACAGAGTCACCAGTTTCAAATTAATCCCCAGTGAGTGGGGGCAGAGGGCAATGGTCTGTGTGAGGGAGTCTCCCCACCAGTGAACGAGTGGAACTGGGTCAGTGATTATCCCCCAAGGACTGGGAGGGGGCAGCAGGCTAGGCCAGAGTCTGGGGGAACTTCCTCCCAAAGACTGAAGGGAGCTAGGGACAGGATCTGTGTGGGGAGTTCTGGACAACTAAGTTCCCCCCCACCATGCACTTCCTGTTCCCCACAAGTTGAGTAGGGGTGCCAACTTTCTAGTCGCACAAAACAAACACCCCGTCCCTGCCCCTTCCCTGAGGCCTGGACCCCTGCTCGTTCTCCCCCCACCCTCACTCTCTTTCACCAGGCTAGGGCAGGGGATTGGGGTCTGGGTGGGGGGAGAGGGCTCTGACTGGGGGTGTGGGCTTGGGTGGGGCTGGGGATGAGAGGTTTGGGGAGAGGGCTCTGGCCTGGGTCAGGGAGTTGGGGTGCAGGAGGGTGGTATGGGCTCTGGGCTGGGGGTGAGGGCTCTGGGTGGGGCCAGAAATGAGGGGTTCAAGGTGTGGGAGAGGGCTCTGGTCTGGGGCAGGGGGTTGAGGTCTGGGGGCGGGTGTGGGCTCTAGGGTGGGGCTGGGGATGAGGGGTTTGGGGCTCAGGGCTGGGGCAGAGGGTTGGGGGGTCCAGGTTGCAGGCTCTGGGAGGGAGTTTGCGTGCAGGAGAGGACTCCAGGCTGGGGCAGTGGGTTGGGGTGCAGGTGGGGGTTAGGGACGCAGGGTCCTTGCAGCGCTTACCGCAGCTCCCAGGAAGCTGACTCCAGGTCCCTGCGGCCCCTAGGCACATGGGAGGCTCTGCATGCTGCCCTTGTGCCTGTAGGCACCGGCCCCACAGCTCCTCTTGGTTGCGGTTCCTGAGCAATGGGAGCTGCAGAGCTGGCCCTTGGGTGGGGGCAGTGCGTGGATCCTCCCTGGCTGCCCATGCACCACGGAGCTTCAGGGACCTGGCACCTGCTTCCAGGAGATGCACATCACCTCCATATTGGTGCACATAATATTCATTCCATACTTGGACCTAAAAAATTAGAGGGAATGCTGCCCAGTCCATACATTACTGCTAAGGAAGTGTGGGAAACCTCATTGGGCCTGTGTCACACTCAACAAGGTCTGTTCTCAGTGATGGCTATGGGGTCCCATCCATTCATTTTTTTTATTCATCTTCTGCTGAGTTCAGCCTTGTCTAGGTTAGGAAAAAGGTAATTTTAAAAAATTGATGGCAAACTCTATTTTAAATAAAAGGAGTACTTGTGGCACCTTAGAGACTAACCAATTTATTTGAGCATAAGCTTTCGTGAGCTACAGCTCACTTCATTGGATGCACTGTATTTTCCACTGAATGAAAAGTGAGCTGTAGCTCACGAAAGCTTATGCTCAGATAAATTGGTTAGTCTCTAAGGTGCCACAAGTACTCCTTTTCTTTTTGCAAATACAGACTAACACAGCTGCTACTCTGAAATCTATTTTAAATATCACTTAGGCTTTGTCTAGACTAGGATATAAAGGTGTGATATCACTGACAAATCTAACATAGACAAGGCTCCCGGCTGTTAAAGCCACTGAAAACTCAAGTCAGTCTGGCACATGTTAAATGCAACGTTTCACCTGACTCTATATGTAAATGGCTTGAATTAAGGTCTTGAGTATGGCAGCAGTAAATTTCTTTTCCTCCTAAATCTATATTGGTTACTAAAATATAATGCTTTCATTATCATTGCAGTGCCATTAATTTGACCTCTTGCATTTGGATAAGCTCATGGATAATCATTACTTTCTCTTTACTCAGGATTAAGTCTGGCTTCCGACTTTGCACCTTCTTGCCACTGTGGGTGAAAAAGCAGAGGTTGGCTTTGAAAGTGTAGGCTAAAGTGGTATAACCATGGACTACAGTAAGAGTACCATTTCTGGCATTGGTTATATTTAACATTACTGTTTCCTTCAACAGAAATTCTATGCTGGAGAATCAGCCTCAGAAGCACTATGGAATAACATCTCCAATTAGCTTGACTCCTCCTAAGGAAATAGATTATATTTACACTCAGAAATTAATTGAAGCCATGAAGCCATTTGGAGTATTTGAAGATGAAAAAGAACTAAATCACAGGTATAACTTTTTAATATAATTGAAACACATTGCTTGAATCTATTTTAAAAACTAAGTCTAATGATGATTCTCATTACAGGCTGATTGTTCTTGGTAAATTGAATAAATTAGTCAAAGAATGGATTTCGGAACTCAGTGAGAGTAAGGTAAACATTTTTAAATTTGCAATTTAAGAAACAATTTAAAAGAAAACAAGTACGTTATTTCTACTATTCAACTTATTTTCTTGCGTTCATAGTGATAATTCTCAATCTTGTATTCTGGAGTCTGTCCTCTGACTTTCTGCAAAGGAATAATAAACTTTTTCCATCTACATATTGGGCAATAGGCTTGTAGTAATTGTCACTCAAGTTAAGGCTTGGAAGATTTTAACTACCTACATCTAGGGTGACCAGATGTCCCGATTTTATAGGGACAGTCCCGATATTGGGGGCTTTTTCTTATATAGGCTCCTATTACCCCCCCACCCCATCCCCATCCCGATTTTTCACACTTGCTATCTGGTCACCCTACCTAGATCCTTAAGCCTTTTTCTGGCAATTAAGTGAATTTGTAAATTGGCCATAACTAAATCATCTGTGTTTATCAATACAAATTAGAACCAGATAACTTTATCTAATGAGTATAGGGCCTCGCGAAATGAATTTTTTTATTATCTAACTTCCATGATGTTATCAATATTTTAAAGATCTTTTTCTATAACTATTTTTATTTTTACAATTACGGGGGTTGGGTGAGGGTTCGGGTAGTTCTGACAGCAGGGCTGCAGGGGGCTCCTGGTGTGGCCAAAGGCCCATAGCCACTGGGGCACAAGATGTGGGGATGGGTGCAGCCATCCTGGCCCAGAAGAGCAGAGGCCCCCTGCCAGGACTGTAAAGAGGAGGAAGAGCCCCAGCAGTGGGCGAGGCCACCCTGCTGCTCAACCGTTCCCATCTCAGGACAGCTCCCACGCTCCTGGCGGGTGAGTAGGTGAGCAGGGCTGTGGCAGCGCAGCTGAATAGGGCTCCCTGCATGGCCACAGAGCTGGTGACACTGGACCCCTGGAAGGCTGGGATCCTGGTGGGTCAGAGCAGAGAAACCCTGGCCAAGGCTGTGAGGAGGAGTCCTTCCTAGCCAAGGAGGAGGCCACCCTGCTGCTAAATGTCTCCTGCCCTGGGATGGCTCCTCTTCCTCCCAGTCCTGGTCAGAGGGCTCTGCTCAGCCAGGCCAGGACCGCAGCCTTTCTCCATCTTGTTCCTGTGGAGATTAAGTGTGACTGGCCCCACTCAGTCCCCAGCCAGCAGTGTGGAAGTTGTCTCTGGGCAGGAAGTGTTAAGCAGCAAGGCGGCCACTACCACTGCTTCCTCCTTGCAGCCCTGACCAGGGGTTTCTGCTCTGCCCTGCCAAAACCACAGCCAGCCTGCCTCCCTCCCTCCCCTCACTCCTTGTGCCCGCAAGGATCAGGTGCCACCAGGCCTGAGGCAGTGCAGGGAGCCCTCTGCAGCACTGCTGTTGCAGACCCACTTGCTCCAGTAACCGCAAGGCTTCAGAGGGCTCCCTGCATGGCTGCAAGACCAGTGACACCTGATCCCAGCGGGCACGCCCACTGTTAGGATTGATAGCTTTTCATCAATTTCAGCATCAACCAAAATTGTCATTTACTGACAGTTATTAATTAAAATGTAATCCTGCTGAGCCTCCCTATAGAGCAGAGAGTGACATTCTAGCCTTGACTAAAGTTTTAAAAGTATCTCAGTCTGGCAGTGAAATAACTACTTGTAGTTCTCAGAATATATCCGTTATGATCCAGTTTATATCCTACACTGGCTGTCTTTAATTTATTACATGGCTCTTCAGATTCACATAAATGGAAGTATCTCTTATCTACACTGGAGATGTTACTTCTATAGTAATAAATGCGTCCATTGTATTTTTGTAAATCCTTCAGGAAATGACTGCCACCATGATTTCATATTGCTGTTACTTCAGTTGGCTAGAAAACATTGGTAGGAAAGGGGTAAAAAAAAGTTCTTACTCCAGTGACCACCTTTTGTACCTGAGCCATCAGTATGTTGCTGTTCATTAAGGAAGGCTAAGCTAATGTCCCCACGTATAGCTATTTTTATTTTTATTTAGAAATTACTGAGATCTTAAATTATTTCACATGTAGTAACTGCCCTTTATCTGTTGAAATCTTACTAATTGCCAAAACAAGCCAACTTAAGCTCTCTCAAAGTGCTAGCATAGCTTGTAGGGCTTCAGACGCTGGGAACCAAGAGCTGTATTTTAAACTCGTATTTCTGCTCTCTTTATAGAACCTCCCACCTTCAGTTGTAGCAACTGTTGGTGGAAAAATATTCACATTTGGCTCCTATAGGCTTGGAGTACACACCAAAGGTATGTTGTTTTTAATAGTGTCTAGTCATACACTGTTTCAGACTAACTGCTTGATTAACTGAAGATATATGGGATATTTTTGCAGGTGCTGACATAGATGCTCTTTGTGTTGCTCCTAGACATGTGGAAAGATCGGATTTCTTTCAGTCATTCTTTGAAAAGCTAAAGGTTCAAGATGGAATCAGGAATTTAAGAGTAAGTTTTCTACTTGTATTCAGAGTAATAAACTTGTCCATGTTAAAGGGACACTGGAATGTTTAAACTGACCAATTTCACAAAATTACAGTTGCTGACAGTAGTCTTCAAATAGTATTGTACACACAACGCTGTTAAAACATTAAGGTTGCAAAGTCAAGTATTCTGATATTTCCTACCTAAAGTTGCTTGTGCAACTTTAATCAACCCATTTGTGTATATGCATTATAATAGTGGTTAACTAGATGATCACATAGTATGTTCTTTCTACAAGTTTCCACTAATTTTGAGTGCCCAATTTGAGACCCTGAGAAAAAGCATGTCCTACATGGTTTGCATTATACTGCACTTAACATGTTTAAATCACAGCTCCCATTGATTTCACTTGCAGTTGAATGCTCAGCATTTCTGCAAAATCAGGCACCAAGGTCTAAAGTTGGGCATCCAGACAATGAGGAACACACACATTTAGTGAAATTTTTGGTTACAAGTAACTTGCCTAGCTTACATAGGAACTGTGCAGCAGAGGCAGGGATAGAATCCAGTTATCCAGAACAGCGTTCAGCTGCTTTAACCAGGAAACCGTCCTTCCTTTTCCTACAGTCCCCTGCCTTATTCACTACATGCCTTCCAGCTTCTGCAACATGAGGCAGGAGTCCTATAGGAACAGCCTCCTTTAATGTACATCCCCAATTCATCCTCAGAGCATGTCTATCTTGTGCACTGAATGAGGCAAGGGTCCTGCAGAAAAAACTAATTAAAACTGTATCATGCAGGCACACAAGGGGGTCAAATTAAGGTTGAACAGGCAACCTTAATTTTGGCATTTCCTAAATTCTGAATGTTTGATTTTAAGAGCATTAAGGTTGCAATATAGTTTTTTATAACTTCCCATAATTAATAATTTTAAAAAAAGGCAAACTGAAAAAACAAACTCCCTCATATTGCATTATACTAATGTCCACAGGGTCATCAGCAGGACTGGAACTTTTAAACCTGCCACACAGACTTTTGCCCACTTGAACTAACTGGGTAACTGATAGGTTGTTTTGTTTTGTTTTTTTAATTCCATAATGGTTACAGTAAATTGAAGCATGTGAGAGAAAGCTGGTGTGTCTTTCTCCTGCCGCTATCACCTGCAACATATAATATAGCCTGAATCAAACGCTCAGATGTGTGAACTGCTCCATTCATTTCAGGTGAATGGGGCAGGTGTCTCCTAGATCCTGGCACGCATAAGGGAAAGGAGAATATGGGACTGACAAGCACCCCACTCTTAATTCCTTCCTGTAGTCTCGCCAACCACCTCCATGTCATCCCTCACCTTGCCCCTTATACCTGCTCCTCATCCCGAGTCCCCAACCCTTCTCCCTTGCCACCCATCCCCATGTATCTTCCTCCCCTCCCAGGAAATATTTCCTTGTGTAATATTTTTCTTTTCAAAGATAGTTTGAGTACACTCAGAATACATGTTTCCAAAATAAAAAAAATCCTTTGACAGAGGCAGATTTTTAGAAACATGCTTACATTTTTGTCCTGTTTTACTTATATTTTTGGCTAACGGCAAGATTAGAAGTTACTGTGCTGGGTGTTGCTCAGGTTCAGTGGTAGTAATATGTTCCTTTGAGCTGCTCAGGTCCTGTGCCTTGTGGCTGGCTAACACGCCTTTTGGGTTCCCTTTCTACTAGGGTGATGAAACTGCAAGTATTGAAAAATTGGGAGGGGGTGGGGGGAAATAGGAGCCAATATAAGAGAGAGACCCAAAAATCAGGACTGTCCCTATAAAATCAGAACATCTGGTCACCCTACTTTCTGCACATACATAGTGTAAACAGTTGGCACGTGAGCATTAGGCATGTGCATCTCTAGAGAGCTAAGCTTCCTGGGAAATACTATTCAGTTTTGCTCCCTCCAAAGGGTTAGTGGGTGCCTTGTACTAGCTGGAGTAAATGTCAAGCAGCTGAGACCATTTTGCACATGATCAGAGCCATGGCTTGATTCCCTGTGCAAAAAAGTTGACTAACTCTGTCAACCTTAAGAAAAGCTTTTTTTGTGGGGGGAAGCTGTATCTTAGGAAAATGACCCTAAACTTGGTTCAGTAACTCTGCCCAGTGCCGCGCCCCCCAAGCTAATCCTAATTTCAGTACCTAGCAAATTGGTGGAACCCATAATAAAGAACAGAAGTATCAGAAACCTAGATAAATGTGATATATTGGGGAAGACTCTGTAACAATCTTGGGGTTCATTAAATAACAAACCATTCAATGAGAAAGGAATAAAACTTTAATAAAACAAACTGGAGAGCTTCTGTAGTGAACTGCTGCACACAGCCAGTTTGGTGTTCCCAATGCCTGTCTCCAGGGCACATCTCCCAAATTCTTGTGCTCATAATACCCCTTATGAGGGAGCATCTCTAATAGGGTTCTACAAACATATCCTTACAGACTCAACACGGCTTTTGTAAAGGGAAATCATGTCTTACCAATCTATTAGAATTCTCTGAGGGTGTCAACAAACATGTGGATGAGGGTGAACCAGTGGATGATAGTGTACTTGGACTTTCAGAAAGCCTTTGAGGTCCCTCACCAAAGGCTCTTAAGCAAACTAATCCATCATGGGATAAGAGGGAAGGTCTACTGATGGATCAGTAACTGGTTAAAAGATAAGAAACAAAGAGTAGGAATAAATAGCTTCAGTAATGGAGACAGGCAAATAGTGGGGTTCCCCCAAAGACCTGTACTGGGACTTGTGAGGTGGCAAAATTTGCAGATACAGAATTATTCAAGATAGTTAAATCAAAAGCTGACTGAGAAGAGTTACAAAGGGATCTCACTTGACTGAGTAAGAAAATGGCAGATGAAATGCAATATTAAGTGCAACAAAATGCACATTTTTTAAAAAAACAACCCAACTAATCTATATAAAGGTGGTGTCTAAATTAGCTGTAGAAAGAGATTTTGGAGTCATCGTAGATAGCTCTCTGAAAACATCCATTCAATGTGCAATGGCCATCAAAATAAAGTTAGGAACCATTAGGGAAGAGATGATAAAATATCATTATGCTACTATATAGATCCATGGTATGCCCACACCTTGAATGCTGCATGCAGTTCTTATTGCCCCATCTCCCAAAAGATATATTAGAATTGGAAACAGTACAAAGAAGGGCAACAAAAATTATTAGGGGTATGGAACAGTTTCTATATGAGGAGAGATTAAAAAGACTGGGACTGGTCATCTTAGAAAAGAGACGACTAAGAGGGATATGAAAGAGGTCTATAAAATCATGAATGGTGTGAAGAAAGGGAATAAGGAAGTGTTGTTGACCCCTTCACATAATACAGGGGCCAGCCGATGTTCTAAAGAGACAGCAGGTTTAAAACAGAAGGAAGTGCGTTTCATACAACTTACAATTAACCTGTGGAACACATTGCCATAGGATGTCATGAAGGCCAAAAGTAGAACTGTTAAAAATTTTAAATAAATAAATAAATTTAGATAATATCATGGAGGATATCAATGGCTATTACACAAGATGGTCAGAAATGCAACTCCGTGCTCTGGGTATCCCTCCAACTGCCAGAAGCTGGGACTGGATGACTGGATAGATCACTTGAAGTTTCCCAGTTCTGTTCATTACCTTTTGGTCATTTGGCAATGTTAGAAGACTGGATACTGGGCTAGATGGACCATTGACCTAGTGTGGCCATTCTTATGTTCTCCATGTACTCCAAATTTCAAGGCAATCCAAGTAATCATCTAAATTTTAGAGGAGTCGCATTTTAAACAAAGCTTTTCTCAACTTTGAAGGTAGCTGAGCATTAACTGCTGTCAGTTGCAATCTTACTGATTACAGTAGACAAATGTAAACGCCCTTTTTTAAAAAAGTGGACTTTCCACCTTCCCAAGAGAAATGGGAAGACTTAACTAAGTATTGTATTGCATATATGCAAAGTGGTCTAGCTAACTGATTTGTGTTAGTATTTTTAAATATTGCTGAAATACTTTTTCTGGCCTTACACCCTGGGGGGTGGGGGGAACAAAAGGTCAGGAGGTGAAACACAAGACTTGCTTTTTAAAAATGCAAAAACTATTAGGCATTTTCCTTTCCTGCTTTACAGGCGATAGAAGATGCGTATGTACCAGTTATCAAGTTTGAATTTGATGGTATTGAGGTAAGAATTAAAGTTTAGTGTCTTGTTAAAATGCAGATGATTGGTTTTTTGCTTTGGAATTTGAATGATATATCACTGGTTCTGGTCTCACTGGCACAACAAACTATTTTGAAAGGTTATTCATTAGTACTCCAAAGTCTAAGGGCTTGTGTACACAGCTCTGCAGTTCAGATTACGGGGTGTGAATTGCAGCATGCACCAAAGTGCTACACTGCAACTCCCCCATGTGGACACTGCTGGCATGAACTAAAAGGCACCTAGCTTGGGTTAGGACTATGTTAACGTGAGCTAGGTGCCTTTTAGTTCTTGACAGCAGTGTCCACATGGGGGAGTTGCAGTGTAGCACTTTGATGCATGCTGCATTTCAGACCAGCCTTAAGGGATGTCTACACTGCAAAGAAAAACCCACGGCTGGCCTAAGTCAGCAGACTCAGGCTGAGAGGCTGTTACATTGCTGTGTAGACTTCCAGGCTTGCGCCCGAGTACTAAGACTCTCCCATCCTGCAGGGTCCTAGGGCTCGGGCTCCTGTCCATGCCCTGAAGTTTACACAACAATGAAACTGCTCCACAGCCTAAGCCCGAGTCAGCTAGCACAGGCCAGCCACAGGTGTCTAACTGCTGTGTAGACATACCCTAAGAGCTCGTCTCAACAAACATCTAGTTTGTGGCAAGCTGGGGTGGGCTGGATTCACACACTAGTTTGCTGCAGTCTCATTGTTTGTGGGCCCCCTGCTGATACGAATTAACAGTCTTGTTTCAAAGAGGACCAGATCAAAGTGTGTTAACACTGTTAATGTATGTCAGCAGAGTACTTGAACAGATAGCCCTAGTGTGGGCTAGATTCACACCCCAGCTTGCCACAAACTAAATGTTCACCTAGACAAGTCTTTAAACTACTACAAAGTTAGTCAGGCTCTCATGTGGGCCATGCCTTTTCCCCAGATTGCATTACACTAAACTTCTATTTTAGGGTATGTCTACACTAGAAATGTAAATTGAGCTATATTAGGTTGATTGACAGCCACCTCAGTAATTACTGCTGTGGTGCATGTCCACACTACCCTCCTTGAGTCAGTGTTGCATGTCCTCACCAGGAGTGCTTCCACTGACCTAAGAGAGGCAGTGTGGGGAGCTCAGAGGCCTGTGTCTCAGCTCTGCTGGAAGCTCGCCCCACAGGGTCCCAGCGGGCTGCCCCATCCCTGTTTCCCATCAGGAGCGAGAGGGGGGAGAAGCTGCTCAAGGTTTTTCAGCTCCCCACTGGGAGCAGAGCAACCTTGTCAATTTCCTGGTAGGGAAGGGGAGCGGGGCCTGGTAGCCCAGGGCTTTTTGCCCCAGCTCCCAGCCAGGAGCAGGGTCTAGCCTCCCAGGGCTCCTGCCATGAAATTGACAGACAGCCAACAGCTGAGGTAAGTAACGCAGACACTGCGTTGCCCTAATTACGTGGACGTGAGTCCTATGCTTCTCGTGAAGGTGGAGTTATGATGTCGGTGTGGTAGGGCACTTACCTCATCGGGAGCAAGGCTGTAGCATAGACACTGACATAATTAGGTTGACATAAGCTGCCGAACTGTGTCATGTAGACTAGGCCTTAGTGGAAAAAAATATCTGCAGGATGAAAATCAGAGCTAGGGTTTTGGGATACACACGTTCCTACTCAGTGATCCCCTTTCTTCTCCCCTCTGCCCCTGCAGTGTATAGCATGAATTGACTTGAGTAAATATGGTGGGACTTTCAAGGAAGAACACTTCATATTAGTGAAGCAGAAGAGACTTGCCATCTTTTAGAACAGGAGTTTCCAGTTTGTCCCTGAGGCTGCTTGTGACCCTTCAAGGAAACTGAATTAAATATTCATTTTTCTTCTAAATTAAGTGTGTTCCCTGAGCCACAGACTCTTAAAATGAAGTGTTTGAATTACCTCTCACTGCAGTGAGTGGAGAGTGTTGCAGAGGAAGGCAGTTCTTTGGAATAGTTCTGGTGGGAGCCAGATGTGTGCTGAGCAGCTACTGTCCCTTCTCTGCTGTAGCCACTTAACTTCCTGCTGGTTGGCTACTATATTCCAGCAGAGGGAGGTAAGTGGCTCATTTGCTCCAGTCTGCCAAAGACCCAGAGCAGGATTTTGTCTCCAGAAAAAAGAAAAAGGAGTACTTGTGGCACCTTAGAGACTAAGAAATTTATTTGAGCATAAGCTTTCGTGAGCTACAGTTCACTTCATTGGATGCATCCGATGAAGTGAGCTGTAGCTCACGAAAGCTTATGCTCAAATAAATTTGTTAGTCTCTAAGGTGCCACAAGTCCTCCTTTTCTTTTTGCGAATACAGACTAACACAGCTGCTACTCTGAAACCTGTCTCCAGAAACTATCCCGGAGCAAGGGGAGGGGTTTCTAAGGGCAAAAGCTGGTTCTCCTCCACATGGTTACCCTGGGAAAGGCAAAGCTGGGAACTAGCAACTGGTTATGTCTCTGAATCTCAGCTCCAGATTCCTTGAGTCATCTGGCAAATGGTTCGTTAAGGACTACGACTAAGCTGGGGACAGGTACAAGCACATTCCAGGTTTCAGAGTAGCAGCCATGTTAGTCTGTATCCGCAAAAAGAAAAGGAGGACTTGTGGCACCTTAGAGACTAACAAATTTATTTGAGCATAAGCTTTCATGAGCTACAGTTCACTTCATTGGAATGCATCCGATGAAGTGAGCTGTAGCTCACGAAAGCTTATGCTCAAATTGGTTAGTCTCTAAGGTGCTACAAGTACTCCTTTTTCTTTTTACTGTAAGGAGAGTGATCACTTGAGATGAGCTATTACCAGCAGGAAAGCGGGGGGAGAAAACCTTTTGTAGTGACGATCAAGGTGGGCCATTTCCAGCAGTTAACAAGAACATCTGAGGAACAGTGCGGGGGGTGGGGGGGGAGAAATAAACATGGGGAAATAGTTTTACTTTGTGTAATGACCCATCCACTCCCAGTCTCTATTCAATCCTAAGTTAATTGTATCCAGTTTGCAAATTAATTCCAATTCAGCAGTCTCTTGCTGGAGTCTGTTTTTGAAGTTTTTTTGTTGAATTGCCACTTTTTGGTCTAATCAAGTGACCAAAGAGATTGAAGTGTTCTCTGACTGGTTTTTGAATGTTATAATTCTTGACGTCTGATTTGTGTCCATTTATTCTTTTATGTATAGACTGTCCAGTTTGGTCAATGTACATGGCAGAGGGGCATTGCTGGCACATGATGGTATATATCCCACTGGTAGATGCGCAGGTGAACGAGCCTCTGATAGTGTGGCTGATGTGATTAGGCCCTATGATGGTGTCCCCTGAATAGATATGTGGACACAGTTGGCAACGGCCTTTGTTGCAAGGATAGGTTCCTGGGTTAGTGTTTTTGTTGTGTGGTGTGTGGTTGCTGGTGAGTATTTGCTTCAGGTTGGCCTGTCTCCCAAGATCTGTGAGTGATGGGTCATCCTTCATGTTCCAGCAACTCTTGCACCTGTGCAGAGGGAGCCACATGAGGTGGCTGAATACATTAGCTGGGCAAATTAACTGGTTTTTGCAAATACCGGTTTGCTTAAACAGCGAGAGAGCCAGATAGGACAAACGTGAACGTTTGAGGAGCGAAAGTTGAGACAGTAATGCCAAACAAAGACTGTGTATAAAAGTTCCTCATTTAAGTCCTGGTTCACAGTATCTGCCAGTTGCGGGGAATGCTGTCAGAAGTCAGTAGTGTGTCTGAGGATCAGGGTGCTATTGATACATGTTCTAGTGTTAATACCTACACGGTACATCACCAGAAGGTCTTGGCACTGTATATTGTATATTCTACTTTAACTCTTCACAAAAGTAGCTTATTGTTTACAATCCAACTTAAACTGTCTAAATACTAAATATGCATCAAGGAACAGGAGTTGCAAAATGAGAGGGAGTTTCAGAAAATGTAGGTAACGACTGAGGTTTTTTTGAGTCTTTCCTGTTATGGATCGCTATCTAAGCAAGATATTGTATTTTGGGTCCTTATTTCCTTGAGATTAAGCACTACGTTCATACAAGTAGACCAGACTGCTATTTATCTCTTCTCTTTTCCACCCTCCCACCCCCCAATGAATTGTATTGCTATATTGCCTTAATATATGGACAAGACAAGTCAGAATACTCAGAGCAGTACATCTGCTCTGATGGGCAGATGCCTCCAAGAAAAATGCAACTGTTGGCAGAGTAGTATAGTGTTGCTGACGTGACTAAATCAACATGTAAAAATTCAGAGGACGAAATTAAGAAACGGTACTGAAAACTAAAGATGTAAATATCGGTTAAAGTTAACTGGTTAAATTATTAAAATTATATCATTAACTGAGGTCGCTCCGGCCGGGCTAGCACAGTGGGGGTTCCGGCGGCTGTTCCGGCCAGCCTGGCATGGCAGGGGGGCAGAGGTAACAGTTAAGGTCGGTTAACAGTAAACGTAATGCTTACCAGTAAATCTTTTACATTCCTACTGAAAACAGCATCTGGTAATTGTTGCTGCTTTTTTTTTTCTTTACGCAAATCTCCCTTGTCTGAGTCTAGAATACTTCTTGACATAGTGGGGGGGGAAAAGCACACATGGCTACATAGCCATAGCAAAGGATATAAAGTTCAAGGCCCACATTCTTCAAGCTGAGCTTTACCTGGTGCAAGTTAATGGGAGGAGCATGGGCAAAGATTGCTTTAAGCTACCCTTGCATTCCCCTGATTACAGTTGTGCTGGTCTACTGCATAATAGGGGTCTGAAGACCTGTGTATCTTATGCTAGCTTTTCCTGAATGCAGGGATCAGCCCCACAAACACCCTGACCATGCCCCACATGCTGGGTCACAAGGAGGGGGTTGCATAAGGTTACTGTTGTGGTTCTACATCACTCAAGGATTCCCAGATGTAGGGAGAATGTGATGCTCTGGTGGCTCAAAGAAGCTTTAACAGGCTGAAGAATCTGGTCCTGAATCTTTCTCACAAAATATGAACTCTAAAGCTGACTTTGTGTATTTAAAGACTATTCTCTTCATGAAAAGACAAGTTTTTGTAGAAAGTACAAAATAAACACAGTATCTGTAATACCGCAAGAACCATTAATGCAGAAAGAAAATTATCCAGCCTTTAGTCATGTATAGCAGAGCTGGTCAAATTCTTTAATTAAAGAAAGGGGTTGATGTCTCACATAGAAAAGTTCCATTTTTGGTTTTCAATGAAATGTCAATTTGTTTAGAAAACCTCCACTACTTGAAAATTTTTTAATTTTGTTTTGAAACTTAAATTATAAGCAAAATGGCTTCTTTCCCTTTTAAAAGGGGGCGGCGGGGGGAGAGTGGCCTTTCCTGTCAAAAGAAAAAATGTGAAGTTTCAAACAAAGCAAAAATGGTTTTCCTCCCCCACCATGAAACATACTTCTTGACAGCTGTATGTCCTGTTTTCTTGATATATCTAATGCACTAAATCCTAATAATCTGGTGGTAAACTCTCCAGATTTGCGTAATTGTAGCATTCATTGAGGAGAATTTAAAATTGTTACTTCAGCTTATACTTCTCTCTAGATGCAAAGTATAATGCACTTTAAATTTTTCTCCCTAAGATTGATCTTGTGTTTGCAAGACTGGCTGTACAGACTATTTCTGATAACTTGGAACTTCGAGATGATTCGCGTCTAAGAAGCCTGGATATAAGATGTATACGAAGCTTAAATGGTAACTTCTGTTTTAATCTTAAATCTGATAACTCATTCATGTGGGATAAGAAAATATTTTGTAAAATGTTAAATTGTATTAGAAATAGACATGTATTTTGTTTACAAATTACCTTTTCCAAGTTTGTACAAAAAAGACATTACTCCTATTGCATAGATTCCTAATATTCTCCTGTATGCTTTATTGGATGAGATCTGAGATATTTAGATACCACAGTGATGGGTAAGTTTAAAAAAAAAATCTGGATAGATCAAGGTTCTGTCAGTTCTGGATATTAGGCACTTTAATGAGTAGGGCAAATGTCTGACAATACCTAACATTTTCCTGATTCTTTGTTCACTGTGCTTATGCCAGTTGGCTGCCTCTTCCACTACAGGGGGAGATGTATGCCAGTGCTGCTGTATATAAATAGCTAAAAGAACGAGGAGTACTTGTGGTACCTTAGAGACTAACACATTTATTTGAGCATAAGTTCTTGTGGGCTAAAACCCACTTCATCGGATGCATGCAGTGGAAAATACAGTAGGAAAAATATATATATACACACACACAGAGAACATGAAAAAATGGGTGTTGCCATACCAATTATAACAAGAGTAATCAGTTAAGATGAGCTATTATCAGCGGGGGGGGGGGGGGGGGACCTTTTGTAGTGATAATCAGTATGGCCCATTTCCAACAATTGGCAAGGAGGTGTGAGTAACGGGGGAGGGGGGCAAAAAATAAGCAATAAGAAAAAAATATTCTTTATGGTGTCCATTAAATTAGGCTTGAATAAAGACTGGGAGTGGATGGGTCATTACACAAAGTAAAACTATTTCCCCATGCTTATTTTTCCCCCTACTGTTACTCACACCTTCTTGTCAGCTGTAGGAAATGGGGGACAGGACTTTTGTAGTGATAATCAGGATGGCCCATTTCCTACAGCTGACAAGAAGGTGTGAGTAACAGTAGGGGGAAAAATAAGCATGGGGAAATAGTTTTACTTTGTGTAATGACCCATCCACTCCCAGTCTTTATTCAAGCCTAATTTAATGGACACCATAAAGAATATTTTTTTCTTATTGCTTATTTTTTGCCCCCCTCCCCTTTACTCACACCTCCTTGCCAATTGTTGGAAATGGGCCATACTGATTATCACTACAAAAGTCCTGTCCCCCTGCTGATGATAGCTCACCTTAACTGATTACTCTTGTTCTAGTTGGTATGGCAACACCCATTTTTTCGTTTGTGTGTATCTTCCTACTGTATTTTCCACTGCATGCATCCAATGAAGTGGGTTTTAGCCCACAAAAGCTTATGCTCAAATAAATTTGTTAGTCTCTAAGGTGCCACAAGTACTCCTCGTTCTTTTTGCTGATAGACTAACACGGCTGCTACTCTGAAACCTGTCATAAATAGCTAAAGCACTTGACATGAGGTGATACCTATAAAAGTAACTATTGCTATGAATTACTTAAAGCAAAGGCAGTCTTCTGATACTTAGAGCTTAACGTCATTACTCAACAGTCCTGAGTTCTGTCTAATTGTGTATGGCTGTTAAAACTGACCGACTTGGCTCTCAGATCTCCTCTTCTCCTCCCTCCCTTCCCCCCCATCTCATGCAGAATGGACTTTCACTTGTTAAAAAATTGTTGATTATAGCTGCAGTCTAAACTCTGAAAACCTGTTATATTCACAAGGTATGTGGGTGCATACTGGAGACTACTAACGTGTCCTCTAACTGTATTTACAGTAGTAAAATATGGATTTTGTTTATACAAGCAATTGTTATACAATGCTTACTTTAGAAACTCTTTCAACAAGACTAAAGTGGTAAACTAGTAAAAAGCTGAGATTATTAAATTTGCAATTTAAATCTCTTGCAGGTTGCAGAGTTACTGATGAAATTCTGCATTTAGTGCCACACAAGGAGAACTTCAGACTAACCCTTAGAGCAATTAAACTGTGGGCAAAACGTGAGTAAAACACAATCATTCTTGATCTCTACCCAGAAGCTTAATTGTTCCTGAAAAGTTCATGAAAAGTCTAGATAACTGAAGGCTGAGAGTAACATTTCTAATCACTTAAGGAATATTTCATGGGGTAATTCAGGAATCTTTTAAAAAGGCCAAACTTTCCATATATGTGATCGTGAATAAGAACTGCGATCTTTATTTCAAAACTAAATTTTATTCAGACATGCTAAAGTAGTAAACACTCATAAATAGTGTATTGAGTAGTCATGATGCTAGGTAAATAGTCATATATAGACGGTGAGGCAAATGTCTCCGTGGGGGTCAAAGTAGCTTAAAGCACGTTCATATATTTGTCATGAGAACTGCTGAACACCACCTTTTCACACAATAACTCTCTACTTTTCGTATGCCTATTGCACAATGGATTATATAAACTTAACTAACCTTCTTCTTTGAGTGTCTTCTGCATATTTTCACTCTTGGGATGTGCCAACCGGTGCAATTTGGACAATGGAATTTTCTGGTAAGAGTGCTCATTAGAGCGCTCCCACACCCTTCCTGCCCCTCACCCCAGTGTTTGAGTACATTCTCAGGCTTTGGCACCAAATGCTGCCTCAGTCTCTTCCAACTGCAGCAGACAGATGGATATGGACTTCTCTGGATCTCTTAGATCCATAGTTTTTTGTTAAGTGCCTTGGTGGGTGGGAAGGAGAGTGGGTGGTTGTGTTTTTTTGTTTTTTATTTTTTTTTTTGTTAAGATTAATCAATTAATGTTAGGTTAGGTTTTAGGATGGTTCAGATATTCAGCAGCATTTGGTACAGTTGTCCACGGCAGATTTGAAGATGAAGAAACATGGCTTTAAAAGATGACATGCCATAGTCGCACCCTTACCAGATGTCTTAAATGCCTTGGGAAAGGCATTCCCCTTTGCCTTGTGCTATTTATACTATGTTCATTCCCCAGGCCAGAAAGAGACTAAACAGACTCCAAGCTTTCTTACTGCAGGAGGAGTTGACTGCCAGACCTCTGGGATTATAGGTGTTGAAGAGATCTGAAGGAAAGGATAGGAGGCCTGAATAGGCTCAGAGTACTTCTACATCCAAGCAGGCTACCATGGTAAAGGTGTCTGCCTCAACACCAAGCTCCAGTTCCAAATCCGAGCCATCTGTACCTAAGACATCAAATCTGTTTCCAAAATGCTCGAGCCCCTCTGACATTCTGGGGGGCAATCCAGACTAGTGGGGGGCTGTCAGCACTGCCCTGCAAACTTAGGTGCCTCACAATGCTTTGCTGCTGTAGCTCTCACCTGGGCCACTCAGACTTCCAGCACACAGGTAAGACCCTGCGTATCTGAAGCCTGTCAGCCACACATCAGTCACACACTGGCTTCCACCAGGCTTGGTTATCATTTTCAAGGTGACCCCAACACATTCCCAGTCTCGAAGTTTCCCCCAAAATGTGTCCTGGACACTCAAGATACCTTAGAGGGGCAATGGATCCAATATTTCTACCCTAAATGGAGTTACCTGCACAGTTTAAAACACTGGATTAGTTTTGATTAAAGAATGAAACATATTTAACTACAAGGAGATAGGTTTTAAGTGAGTATAAGGCAGAAATGGTTACAAGAGAAACAAAAATAAAATGCTTCCTAGTACTAAAACTTAACAAACTAAACTTTGGTTCAAGGTGAAGTCCCTTACCATGTGTTCCCAGTAACATTGCTGACTGAATTCTCAGGCCAGAACCTGCTCCCAAAGTCCAAAGGCTGTTTCTTTCCTTTTTCTTTTTCTTTTTGTTTTCTTTCCTTTTCTTGGGGTGTTTGTCCCTCACTTTTACAGTTCAGTCACACTCTGAAATTTTCCTGAGGGTTACCCCTAGATAAAGTTACATCCCACTGTGAGGATGGAGACAAGGAGTCTGGCGGTGAAAGAGGTTCCATGCTGTTTGCTAAAATGCAGATTGATCTGTTCCTGCCCCTCCTTCTTTGCCACAGAATCACCATTTGACAGGTGACTGCCCATCAATTTTAACAACATCTAGCTAGAGGCATCAGCTTGTCCTTTGTCTTTAAGAAGCTGGTTTACCCAAACTTATTTGGTAAATACATTTTAGACCTAATTTCAGCTTATGTTCATAACTTAACATATAATGTTGCTATATACATTTCACCATGATATTATTCAGCAGGAAGTTATTAGTTTTCAAATTATACCTCACAAGGCATATTTTGTACAAAGATTATTACAATGGTTTGTAGGGAGGTGGTTCCAGATAAGGGACCCAAACAGCCAGATAACATACCAGAACAAAGTACTTCAGTTCCAAGGAAAAGGAAGGCTAAATCAAAACATATCTGACCTCCTCACTCTGGTGACTCATCAAAATATTCTCACCTTTATCCCTTTTACAAGTTCCACTTTCAGTCCTTTGACCAATAGGTTTCGTTATTGGATCTGCACTTTGAAGGAGAGCTGGATAAGTGATTTCAGAGGTAGACTTTTTTTTCACAACACTGTTCCCCTGCTCAGTTTGAGAATGACATCCTGTGGTCAGATTGGCATATGCTGCCTTGGGCATCCTGCCTGACTCCTAGTTTCCCTAACCATTCTCAAAAGCCAGGATTCCCAGTTCCAGATTAAGGGAAATCTAGCTCTACAGACCAGAGACAATCGGATCCTCAACATTTGGAACACTTTCCCTCTTTAGTGTCTGGTATACTTTCTGAAGAAAAGGAGGATCCACCTCTTCAAGTGAAAAGCAAAAAGAACAAGAGTTAGAGAGTGATTCTCTTCCTGATGAGAATGTGAGTGTTGCTTCTGCATCATCCCCTTCTGAGGACTCTATCCAGTTTCATGAATTGGTGAACAGGAAGGTGCTAGTTTTGAAGTTCTTCCAATGGTTGCAGACATGTCCTCCACTCAGGTGTGCACTCCTAGTGCACCAAAGCTGGAGAACGTACATCCTCTGGCCCCTTGTAGCCCCTCCTCATGCTATTTAAGGTCAGCACTGCCCCATCCCCCTCAGTTCCTTCTCACCACTTGCAGCTGGATTGGGTGCATTCTGTGTGGTATCTTCCCTCACACTTCACTGTTTGTGCTTTGCTGTGAGCTTGTGTATATAGTTTTAGAAGTATCCTTAGTATTTAGTTAGCTTAGGATTTAGCCTGGTGTGATGCCCTCACCAGGTTTTAAACACTGCCGGTTGTGTGGGGTGGCCACACTGTTTTTACTCTGCCTTGGAGAAGGGCACATTTAAAGGAAAGTGTTCCATCTGTAAGTCATTCAAAAAAGAATGCTGGTGACTAGAGACTTTGTGCTTGAAGCAGCACCTTATGGAGCAGGCCATGAGTCTTGCTTTGGTAACTGGAGACCTCTGCCAATTGTCCAATCCCGCAGAGCACTTCAGAGCTGGTAGGGGCTGTTCCACAGCCAGATTCAGACTCTGAGGGAAAATGAGTCTCAAAATGGATGAGAACCTTTGCAAAGTTAGGAGAGATTCCTCCTCCTCCTCCCCTAAGAGGAGTGCAGACTGACAGATTCCTCTGGTACACAGGATGGAGGGAGGCTGTCTATCTACTCTCCGGTACTGAGATGAGAACAATTTGACAGTACTGTCAAGTCTGGTACCAATGACGTTGGTGTTGACACCAATTTGTTTCTGGTCTGTTGACATATCAGGCACAATCTGTCTTGCTTTGCCTTTCTGCCCCAGACATTCTATTTAATTCAGTAGCACTCAACTGTGGTGGCCTCTTCTGTGTTATCAATACCTCCTAGACTGGTTAGAGAATATTCACTGTTGTCTTCTGCACTGCTTAAAAATCAGGATGCAGAACTAAATTTGGCCCCTTTATTGGTACTGAGGAGTCATCAGTCGAGCTACAATCTTCAGTAATGACCGTTTCAGAGCAGACCACATCTGCAGGACTGGTACTGGGTTTGACTTCATTACTGATGTCCATTCCGGTGTCATGTGAGTGCAATGCCCCTACCACTACTCAAGGCACCAGCTGCTTTGCTATCATCAGCATTGATGCAGCCTGCATGTTGGGCTTCAGGTGAGGCTGGATGTTTGCTTGCTCTACCTGAGTGGTTCCTCCATTGCCACTGCTTGGAAGTTTCTTCAAGAGAGAATTTGGGAACATCTTCTGCCTCTGTCACCTTCAAAGTGCTATTCTCATTCTTTGAGACCTCCTGGGGATCACGAGCAGTATAGAGATTGGCACTGCTCCCACAGTAGGGTTAAGGGTATTAGTCCAGTTCCCACTGGCCACCAATGCCATATCCTTATCCTCAATGGCCTCCTTGGGATGTTCCTCAATCTGTGAGGTCCCAATGCACAGGTCAGTCCAGAGCAAGGTCACTGACCTTTGTTCATCCTCACTCTGAGCTAGTTCAGTCTCAACCATTGTTACAGAGGCAGGTGTTGCCACAGGAGATTTCATTGGTTCCACTTCATTTTTCCACTGGATGATTCTACGGTGCCAGCTTCCTCTTGTCCTGTACCTGAGGATTTTAAGTCATATCAAGGTCTCCTGAGGTGAATGGCTACAGGCTTGGGCATTCAGACAATTTGTTCAGGACAGTACTAATAAGTTGGTATATTTTCTCCAATCATTGGTTCCCAGGAGAATAGCTCTCCCTATAAATGAAGCACTTTTTGGAGCTGCAAAAATGTACCCTACGTTCCTTACTGCTCACAGTGAAGCATACTGAAAAGAGGTATTGTGCCCTTATGCAGGGTTTTCAGTGCTTCTGCTCTCATCCAGCCTCTAACTCACTTGTCATAACAGCAGCAAGTGAGAGGTTGCATCAGGGGAGATATAAACGGTTAGATTTAATGGGAAGAAAAAACTTACTTGACCTCCTCTTTACAAATTCGCATTGCTAATCAGCAGGTACTGTTAACCTCCTAATTTACAAAATATGTCCAAATTTACATATAAATTGCTAGAATCCTCCTGGGAAGAGTTTAAGGCATTCATTGTGGAAGGTCG